ACTCCCAAATTGTACCTACCAGGCAACTGGAATGGGGAGTTAGTGGGCTCTTGGGTAGGAAATGAAGTATTTTCTGGTCTGGTGTATTCTGGGAGTGCTGGACGTTCCCTGGGAACTTCAGTTGTTTGACGTGGAACAAGAACAGGTGGAAGAACTAAAAAAACAAAAGCAGTCAAATAAGTTATAAGCTACCCATTAAAATATGGTGACACTTAATGATTGAACAACCAATATTCTTTGGCAAAAGTTACCCCTGGTTCTTGGCCTAAAAGAGAAGAACACCAAAAGGTACACATATAATACAGATTTAACTCGCCTGGATAAATTGTTCAACATGTCATTTATACCTTGTACTATTATGACGCAGCACAATGAACACAAAATCATAAAACAATTGAATGAAAGCATCATAAAAGGGCATTACCCACAGACATTTTCCTAAAATATTGATTTTCATTTTAAAGAAAAATAAAAAGATTTAAAATCTGACTTTATTCTCAAATCTTAGATCTAATTTCTGCTTAATATCAAACTTCTTGCAGTCAGAATGTATTTAGTTACTAGATATTCGACTGCAAATACATGTTACTACCTATTGGCTTTATCCATACTATGGTTTTGATAGCAAGTATTCAGATATATCATATAAGGGATTGTTAATACAAAATAAATCATTATTTTTTTCACGCTATCAACATTTGAAGATATTGTTAATCAAAGCCATGACTGGATCATAAAAAAGGATTGGATACTCTCAAAATCAAAGAAACTCTTGTCTCTGATCTGGAACTTAACAGATCTGACCAGGTCATGACCCATAAGGAGGTTGTTTATTCCCATTGTCCACCCACTAGAACAGATAATGTCATTCATAGATTTGTTTGAACTCTGCAAAACAACTTTCCAAAGTTTCAAAGTTTTCTGTCCATAAAAAATATATTTTTAACTGTAGAACTGTTTTACAGGTGTATTTGAACAATAAAATAAATATTAAGTAAACTTTGAGGAATTTATTTGGCACTTCAGATTGATCAAAGTCACATAGTGTTACTTCCTTATTAAATGATAATGTCGACTGTGATTTAACAGGAAAATTTAATGAAACTCAACCATTCCAATGTTCACTACAGTTTGAACTGCAGCAAAGTACTGAGTAATGCTCAGTGTTACAAGATTTAAGTGTTGCTACTGTTACTGAATGCACCAAACACAGCAAATAGTGCACACCTAAGCCCAATAAACAGTATTATGAAGTGTTAGCTTTGATAAACATGTTCTGCTGATAAAAGCCACACACACACACACACACACAGAAAACCAAGTCACACCCTTGACCAATGTAAATCACTGATATGCTGATATCAGTGTTTAAGACACATAAGCATGTTAAACATTACACCAATGTGTGCTTCAAAATATAAGAGGAAAAATAAACTATTTGGACAGACACAAAGCTTTAACAACAACAAGAACTGCACACTCCTTACGAGAGAAAACAAAGAAACCATATATCTTATTTATTAATAGTATTCGACTGATCAAATAATGAAAATAAAATTCCAACGGAGAAAATGTAGAAGTTAGTATTTTACGATAGGTTAGGTTTCACTGGCAAAAAGGAAAACCAAGTTTATGAAACAACGCATGGCGATTAGCATTTTCATGATATCACGTAACAACATCACTATTGTGAAATGATTCGAACGAAACCATGAACAATAATGCAATGGAAACAGTGAAAAAGGTAAATTCTAAAATACTTGCATCTTCACGAACAACTCATTCGTTTGACAATCGTAAAAAATGATAAAGGTGAAAAATCTGCAGTTGATCATTGGCTCTATATCAGATAACAAGAGAACGTATGGAGACTCCCTTCCGGAGACAAGCCCAATTTTCTTTATTTGATTTCTCGTACAAATTGCCTCCAGAACAATGCAAAACAAAACTTGTATATACACTCTCGCTGTTTGACTTTGCATTACTACGCATCATCGACCAAAGTTTCGTATTCGTCAACGAAAAATGGTTGATAATTTCTCCTCATTAATTTAATTTGACGGAAACAGACCGAGGCACTAGCGTGGCGAATTACAAATGTATACAGAGAAATAAAATTCTTAAGTCAACAATCATTCACGACCTAAGAGCTTTAATGTGTAGGACACAGCTTATGAACTTCGATTTGGAAACATTTTAAAAAATATTTGACGCGGTTCTGGGCTATTTCATTGCTTGGTCAAACGACAAACAACTGGCCGTTTGATAATGAAACACATCACAAATGAAGTCCGTAAAAAAATATCCTGCGACTTTCAAATAAATATAAAACTTAAGTGGGACAATGTGTCATTGAGCACTGTCAAACTACCGCTGAAAGTACTTGAAAGTTTGCATTATAGCGAGAAGATCGAATTTTTTCTCGGAGCGAATACAAACACACGTACGTTTGTCGCACACATACCGTCGAATAACTATTCATTTGGTCGAACATCTTTCCCAAAATTCAACGATTCAAACAACAATATCTAAAGTAACATTTAATCGAGTTAGTTTAGAGGCCTTTGAGAAGCAGCAGAGAGGATTCAAACCAAACCCACGAAAAAACTGATTGAAATGAAAATCTGTATGATAGCGGCATATTTCCTTTAGCGTCCATAACGCGCTAGGAATAAATCGGCAACTGATCGTAAAGAAATTGATCAAGGTTGAGAAAAAGCCTTGGCAGCGACTGTCGGGAATAAAAACACCGAGCCTAACAACCAGTCCGCAAAAAATCGCACAAAAAAAGTCCTACAACACCAGTCAGTGTCCTAGTTTTACGTTGTACTACACAACTTTACCATCCAACATGACCTCCGCAAAATCAAGGCATCTGTTTTGAAAATGGAAATTAACCGATCAGATCCGATCAAAGACTCTATCTACAAAGCAGCAATTCAATATTGGACGTCAAAAACAGCTGATAGCAAAAGGCGAAGAAAAATTAATCTAGAACGTGCACAACCTATGAGCACATTTTGCAGGTTTTTTGAACACATGTTCGTTCATTCAATAGTACGAGATACAACGGCCGATTAACGCTATGTTGGTTGACAAACCATCAGTGAAAAGGCGAAATTTGAAGTGGCCATTCGTCTAGAATCTTTTACTCGAGAGGATTGCATTTCTGCAGTCAAAAATGCACTTTTTCTTGCTTACATATCCAGCAATTATCGAACACATGGACGAAAGCGTAATTATCAAGGAAGAAACATACTCATTTTCTTCGCGACTTAGGCATTACAAGGATGTTTTAATGGCATGTTCGCTTGTCATCCCTGCTGCTTTCGAAAAGGTAAATTATAATTTTATACTTAAGTAAAACATTCAGATTTCCTGCCATCCAGAAAGATCGCAGGAGACACTCGAGCAGTGTACAAAGTAATGGAACACGCGCGCTGAGATCAAAACAAAACTAGATAGACTAATTGGGACGCCGAAAGAACACAAACGAGATATTTCTACGACCCCGTAAAGCATTCTTTGCGTAAGGAATTGTGCACAACATTGATTGTAAAATTACCTGGTGTTTCTACTCGCTGATAGTGGAAAGGATTCACACAAACTTCATCTTTCTTCAAGCTAAAAGCGTATTCACACGACTCGATAGGTCGCAATTCGTGATGGCTTTGCAAGTCCGGCCAACGCCATAGTCGACAGTAAATCACATGAGGCAGACCTTTGCGATGCGAAACTTGCAAACGGCCGTCTAAACTGCGAGGTATTGTCACACATTTTGTAGGAATACCCGGGTTCGTGATCGCTCTTTCCAGCTCCTCAAGGCCTCCAGTTTTCTTCAATTTCTTTACCAAACTCTTCACTGCTTTCTCGGCCCATTTATCATCGTCGTCCGTACTTCGCTTCCAGCCCAGCAATCTCTTAACAATGGGCGGCGTAAAAGGAAGAAGCGAAGTCATATTACCACAACTCTCTGGCTAATCCAGATCTCTCTGGTTCTGTAACACGCCAGCGTTAACCCCTTAGTCTTGGAAGCAAACGTGAATCGATTCCCAATTCTCGCTTATCCTTTCTTTGCATAGGATCGAGTCCATTTCTTGACTGACAGGTGAGGCATTCTCATCAGTTTTACGTGGGAGGTACGCGAACCACTAACCAATCACAGCTCTCGTAATATTGACGTCATAGTGCTCCTGACATTGACACAAAGCTGTGGTTGATCAGAAAATAGGTGTCGTCACGTGACTAAAAATCGTTTTTCTCATTCCACAATGAAAACGAAAACTTCTGCTATTTCTATTTGATAAGGTTTTCGTGTCTCGGTAAATCTACAATGAAAACGATCAAACCAGTTTTCAACAATGTGACAAGAATTTAATGAAAGTTTTTCCCTGACCTCTACTAATAGTTCAAAATTGATTGCGCGTATAACCACAAAGTTATTTTTGTAAAAAGGCAGTAGACGACTGAGGTGCCGCCCGAGTCAAATATGGTTCGTGAGAATCAGTCAGTCACGTTGATGTTAAGTTTATTTGTTTAGAATTATTCTGTTTACAGAGAATTGACACCTATGATGACATTAAGGGTGCAATTCCTAGGCAACTTTTAATGACCTTTGGTGACTCTCGCGCTCTAAGGCGGAAACATTTCTCCCGAGAAACCCACTTTTCGTCTAATTTTGAACTAGTCTATTTACTTTAATCTTCTCATGAGCATGATTTTACGTTCTAATGGAACTGTTTGGGTGTCATCAGAAGTTGTATTTATTTCTCTGTTTCCGACGATCACCTTGCAAGGTACTTTCGTTAAGAAAAATTAACACCTATCGAACAACTATTTTGGATATCAAAGTTTGAGTTCCCATTCTGACATTTGGCGCTCCCAATTTCAGGCGCTAAATACCAGTTGATCGTGTATACAAATTCACATGCAATTCTTCTAATTCGCGAAAAAATTCCAATACTAGTGGATGTGAGCTAAAATGAGATTTGTTTTACCAGCAAAGTGCCATTAATGATACTGCATCATATTTCTATTACAACAGAGTCTTTTAGACCTATAATTTGGAACTAACGATAACAAGGCGAAACGAAACGAGATTGTCACCCACCGGCTCTTTTTTTCACGCAATGCAGCCCTAAATTTTGATAATGCCCAGAAATTGGCGTGCCCAATTAGTGTCTCCTTTTAATAA